AACGAAAAATTCACCGACGATAATTAAAAACGGTACGAAGACACGATTAATCCTCTCAACGGAACCACGATAAAAAAAAAAGACAGTAGCAAACACTACATACCCAGTGTCCACGTCGAATTTCACTCTCGACTGTCCTTTATGGCCCTCGTAATTAGCATAGAAGTAGCTCCGATGCGTGTCCCACGTGAGTCGCCGCTCGTGACGATTTTCATGAATCGAGCCGACGGTGTACACACAGGTATAGTAACAGCATCTGAGGATGTAGCAATTACGTCTGGACTCCTTGCCACAGATGGACGGGACCGCAGCCACGGAACGCCCCTTGCGTTACACATATGTTACAAGTTCCCTTCTGTCCCTCTTCCCTTTCCTCCTTGCCCCTCTCCCCACACCTTACCGCTCATTCCTTCCTGACCGAATTAACGTTCGTACGGTCAGCACGAAAGACGCTCCTGTGGGAACAGCGGAGTCGACGGCTTTGTCGACGGTCATCCCATTCGGCGAACGCGGCCTGCTCGGCGATTACAACAGAGAGATGTTGCAAAGTGTTCACCGGTGTAAACTAGAGGAGGCAGAGGATCAACTTGGAGAACGTGTTCAGGGTTAACGAAGGCAAGCAGATCGGCCGAAGATTCGGACACTTGCTGGTGCTCTGGTTCAACGATGACCTCGAAATCGCGGATTTCTCCTTTTAAATTCATGGTTCCTCGGGTATTGAGAGGTAACGAAAAGGGTGGGAAAAACGTAGACAGGAAGGAATATTCTTGACAGAATATTAGCCAAAATGTTACGACGATCACGCGAACATTCGTTACTTGGAATTACGCGAACCGTGTGATATATGTATAACAGTGCTACCAAAGCACGCGGCTTTTGTGCACCGCGAAGAAAAGAGAACCGACGTCGGAAAGAAAAGTAAGAAATCCGCAGAATTGTAAAATGAACCGCAAAATTGCTTCCAGGTATGGGTAAATCTGGCCCCGACTTTCAAACTTCTAAAGACAGAATCATTCGGATCCGCCATTAACGTTACACAGTCCGGTTTACATTAACGTCCAAGTATTTCGTTCCAGTTTCACCACGAATTGTACGCAGGACGATGGTTGGATAACGGTGACCCTGAATCTACCATGTAACCCTATAGCCGTGAACTTTCTTTTCACGTTTGCTACGTTGACAATGGAGAACGACGATCGTCTCGCGGACCTCTGCACGCGATGACCTGCGTACTTCCTGAGGACAACGTGAAGAGGAAGTGTGTCCTAACGGGAGCGTGGCCTCACTTTCTACACCGAGACTTGGCCCTTTTCTATACTCCGCTTCGCGTCTATTCTATCTAGCCAAAAAAAAAAAAGAAAGGAAAAGCATAGATCCGTGGAAAAAGCAAAGGAAGAAATGGTGTATGGAAAGAAATAAACGGCGAAGCCGCAGAGAAGGAAATTGTTGAAACCACAAGTTATCAGACTGACCAGTTGGCCAACTAATCCACGCGATATTAAGCGTAAGTTGGTTGCCTCTGGTCAGGACACTCGTAGCCCTAATACACCCTAGGGGTCGTGAAAGGGATGAGGCAGCAGTCACGTGTATTCTAACCGGCATGGCCGCGAGATTACAGGCCGGCTCGAGGCCTGACTTCGATGTAAATCAATCTGCCACACAACTCTCCCTCGGGCTCTCTCCTTCTCGTCTAAACTGTTCTCCTCGGCTTTACGTCGAAAGGTGAATGGCAATTCGTACGAGGTGTCGGATGATCTACCTTCGAAACTTCTTGTTGCTTCTCGCCACTTCTCCGCCAAGTACCGCCGTTTTTCGTGGCTAGAAGAAGAAGAAAAGAGAGACACGGTATAAGAATGGAATGGAGGAGACTACCGTTGGCCGATGCAGCCAACAACTAGAAGAAGATCAGCGACAAAATCAGGGCCCCAGGTGCATTTATTGAAAATTACTCCTCGCGTGCGAGCCACTGGAAGAGGTGCAATCGAGGCAGTCGTCCCGGGCTCGCGATTATGCTAACCGAATGGCGCTTGCTTTAATGAGTTGGAACACTTTAAAGTGCAATATCTTCACACCACGGCCATCCGGTCGCCGGATTTTACCCGCGGGCGTCAAATTTGCCCAAGAGTTATTCTTCCCCCTTCTCCTCGGGGACTAGTGGAACTTTCAAAATGGAACAAAAGAAGGAGAGAAGAGGAGAGCGCACAATCGTCGTCAAAGGCTAATTTTCGAACAACGAGCAAAACTGCAGTCCTCCTCTGTGTGTGTCTGTGAACGAACGCGAGACAACGCATACGTAGACGGTAACAATAAAATACGATATTATTGCTTCTTTTTTGTTTTGTTTTTTCGAAACGATGTCACGCACGAATTGCCACGTCGGTACGAGCAATCAGCGTAACGAGACAAAAGAAAACGCGAGGCATGCTCGTTTAACGTTTGTGACCCATCCAATTTTCCGCAGTTTAATTCGGACGATGGTCAATGCGTTTCGTCATATGCCCCCAAGTGTTCTTTCATGGTGGATAGAGGGGAGAGAACCCGCCACCGTCGATTGCCCGTTTTCGTTTCCATGTTTTCCGCCTTAATTAGCCACGTTTATGCACAACGACCGTGTGTGTGTGTTCGTTACGTCGTTGGGTTACTTCAAAGCGACGATTCTTCTGGAACGAAATTCCATCGTAGAGCTTCTCTCTTTCGGATAACAGGCCGTGTGGGTAGGTTGTCGATAAGAATTCGCGTAGATATATCGCGCGGGGAATAATTGGAAATTCGTAAAAGGGTGATCTAGAAATTTCGAAGAGTTGAAAAGTAGATCGATGGCTCGAGGCGAGTCTTGTCTCCAGGTAAGGCCATCGGCATATGTGCCTCGCGTGCACCGATGCAACCGTAGGATCGCAGTAACAGGTGCAGATGCAGAGGAAGCGATCGTTAGCTCGACAGCCCGCGGTGCATGTGCGCCTATTATGATTTCTTTCGTAATTAGTCTCCCTTGCTCTCTACGTTCCTCGTACGCGTATTCGAATATGTACCTATTATTTGTTTCGTTGCACGCATGCATCGGCCAACGAACATGTGTCGTCCTTTGTCCTTAGTTCTCCGCGTTTTTAGGACGGTCGTGATAATCACGATGGCCTTGAACTTCTCCGATCCAAAAGTATATCTTATAATCCTCTTATAATGCTCACGTTATAGTCGTTGAAACTAATCATCGTGGATAATTTACAACGATGGAGAAATTTACATGGCCAATAGGATAATTGCGTGCAACGAGGGATAGGAGAGGGGAAATTTATTAATCGAAAGCACGGTACATTGTGGAGAAACGATTAACGAAATCTACGATACTGTAACTTGGCGAATTTTACGTGTCTCTTGTATGGATAAATATCGTTGGAGTTTCGTTGTGTTTCTTCTCTCGCAGTGATCGATGTGTTATCGAGACAAGGGAATACTTGAGTTATGGGGATAGATCTAAGACCGGTGTGGTACATATCCGAGAAAGCGTCTTGCCAAGAGATTTCACCGAGGGTTGGCTGTTTGCGCCTCTCGACAAATAAGGGGAAGTCGTTATCCCCTGGATGGGAGGAGTAATTAACTGCTTCTACCTCCTTTCTGTCCGCTCCACCTCTCAGCCAGCATCCTTCCTTTCCGGCTTCGGCTTCTACTCGAAGGAGCAGACTTAAGGAGACCCGCTTAGGCTTTCACGGGGTCGTGTCTTCATTATTCACGCTAATCTGCTTTTGCTTCGTACTCCTGCCGCCTCGATCTCACCCCTTGGCTCTCCTCTCGAGTCTGCCAGTTCTCTCTCGGTTAGTTTATAATTTACTCGAAAATTACACTAATCAAGTCTACCAGTGTAGTGTAAACGCCGTTTCTACAGTTCACTTATTATTACTATTATTATTATTACGATGTCTAGAGGATGCTTGTTTAATCGATACGTGCAGAATTTCGTATGTTAATTTTTGAAAAGAACGTCGACGTGTAATTTTGGAATTGTAGAAGGGTATTTCCAATTTTCGTCGCGGACCATGGAAGACACCCCACGGTGTTCGCCAAATTGTGATGAATTGTTTTGTGTTAACAGACGATGCCGACAAACGTCTGGCCGTAGGACCCCAACTGTGATAATCTTTCACCAATTTTCAGTCACTGATTGATCGTCGCAATCCATCGGTGATTCGGATGAATGGATAGCCGCGATGAAACTTCAATGTCTTTCGCTTGATTGGTATTACGCGATAGAAAAAATGATTCATTTTCTGGACGTTACTTTAAAAATGTGATTATGTAAAATTTCTGAGGGAAAAGATTGATTTTTTGTTTTGTTTTAAATAACCGGAAATTGATCGAGGTACAAAGGAAATAAAACTTTGTGAGAAGTTCTGCTCTAAAATATAAGATTTAAATTGACGTGTCGTTTACAAGAATATTTACTAATTTATAACTATTCACAAATACAGCATGTATTTATATAATTATTACGCGATAGACAGATTTGCTGTTCCTTGATCGTAACATACAAATCTATGTATACTAAATCTTACATAATTCCTGTAAAAATGCAGCTCTCTTACTTATACAGTGAAATGAACACAACTGTTATTATTTATCAGCTCATAGGAATGTCTACATTGAGGTAGGAAGCCAAATATTTGCATGTTAATAACCTTGCAAAGGAAGACAGTTTAGAAAAGTTCAAATGTATCAGCTTAAGGTCGTTCCTAACATGTTACAGTCAACATTAGGTTATTAAATACACTCAAGGAAAATGCTCACCTCTACATGAAGAGCAAACAAAATGAGCTATAATTAATAATAAGAAGTGTTTTCAATGTATCGATTAAATAATGTGCAAATGAAAGAAACATTTAGATGTATACTAATCTGTATGAGAAAATAGAAAAAATGGTCTGCATTTATTTATGTAGGAACGTGTTTCGCATAGTGAAAATTCAATTGAAAATATGAATTTTACGAAATGGTATTATATTCCTCCTGTGCAACATTTTCAAATATCTCCCTAGAGCAACTATTTCCAGTACACTATCGTGGCATAAAAAAAAATCATACATTACAATATAAATGCACAAACTTATGTATACAATATTTATTCGGGGTTAAGTGTTTACTGCGGTAAGTTCAATAAAACATTTTGACCTGGCGGTAAATAGGCTACTTGACGAGATCTAGACAGATTATGGGCTATGTCTTCTGCTGCTTCAATTCTTCTAAGTTCAACTAAACCATCTCCTGCTTCACCGAGGGACTTTGCAATCAGGCTAGCAGCCTGTGCATCACCCTCTGCACTAATGATAGCTGCTTTTTTGTGCTGTTCCGCTTTTTCTACCAAGAAACGCGCCTTCTCTGCTTCTTGTTGTGCTACTTGCTTCATTTCTACAGCTTGTGTGAACTCTTTTCCAAAGGTTAAATGCGTCTGAAACAAAGTATCCTCGGAAATTGAAAAATGGTTCTATGTTTACGCTGAAAAGCCGAAACAACGGTATTATACTTACAATTGAAATGTCGTCTAAAATTAATCCAAACTGTTGAGCTCTATCTGTCAGATCTTCCCTAACTTTCTCAGACACAATTTCTCTCTGTGTAATCAATTCACCTGCATCAAATTGAGCAACTACAGCTTTTAAAACTTCGTTGGTAATAGATGGTAGTACTCTTTCGTCGTAATCTATACCAAGAACGTTATAGATCTTTGGCAAAGAGTCTGGTATAGGTCTAAAGAGAATACGAAGCGTGATGTTTACATTCTGGAGATCTTTACTTCCTGTGACTACAGGAACATTTCTTGGCCTAGATCGAATATCAAATAGGATCGGCTTCTGTACCCAGGGAACAAAGAAATGTGTTCCCTCTCCTACAACCTGATTCTTTATTCCGGTAAATCTATCAAAGATTACAGCCCTGTGACCTCCGTCAACTGAAACAAACGATGCGTGAAAAATTACAAGCAAACTTCAACTTACATTTCGCACAACGTTTACATTACGAAACGGAGCAAGAGGAAAACTAACCGTTGTATAATGCAGTATTGATAACAGTTCCAGTGATGGCCAAACCTAAGCCAACGTGCCCGAGTCGATTCAAAAGCTGTGCCATTTTTTAATAAAACACCTGAAAACAGAATAATAACAGATTAATATATAAATATATTCTGATGCAATATCAATCGACGCCGTTATACTGTGGTCAAACAATTCTAACCTAAAATCTAAAAGTGTTTCACTTCGAAGTCACGGTGTAAGGTTAAAGGGCAGATCTTTATTTTCAAAGAATCACAAGGTTAAACAATATCACAAAAACACAAGCATTGATAAAATATTAACGTAAAAAAATGAAAAGAATACATCTAAAATTGTGGACGTTCGACCGGTAGCGGTCTCGATCAATATTATGTATAAAACACAATTTCTCTAGTTCCCATCGTCGTTAATCCTACTGTAATAAAAAACAATTAACACTTTTTATATTGTCACAATTATTTCTTACGTAATAAATGCTGCCTGCGAAGAAAGAATTCACTTTCCTCCTCGCGTGGTATATGGGTTTCGGTAGAGAAAGATGGAGTCCGGACTCAACTTGAGCAGGACACAGCCGGAAGCTACCGGAAGCCATCACTACCTTGGCGGCAAATTTAAATACACTCGTTAACAGTCGCGAGAGTTCCCTTTAAAATACCGCTCGATATACATTGTTTTAAACAATGAAATACATATGAAACGATGCTGAAATTAAACTGTATACATTTATACAAGTGTCCATAATTATTAAAAGGAAAAAAATGAACGCCCCCGGATGGTCTCGAACCATCAACCTTCCGGTTAACAGCCGAACGCGCTGCCATTTACGCCACGGAGGCTGTTGTACGAAACGAAATAATTAGAAAATTTCGAACCGAAAATTATCCAGAGATATACATACACATCTCGTTCTTCGTTTCACTTCTCGCGATATAAATTGAAGACAAGGACAAGGAATGAAGAACGTAGAATTACCCAAAAATAAAACTTTATTCTTTTACTGTATCTACATCGTCATTCTACGTAACTCTAACAAAAATAAAGGTCTCTTGTTTGATAATGAATATCCGCTGCTGCGGACGACTTCTGCTGAACACACTTTGTAGGATGAAGAAAATGATCAAATGATATACATATTTAGCTCGATTTTTCGAATTAAAGATGCAAGACGGAGTATATTTTCGGAAGTACAGATTCATGCGTGCCATCCATATGACCGCACATACCGGTCACCTGTCCTTGAAGAACAGTCTCCAGAAGAACGCTAACACTGTTCGGCGCGCAGTACACCTGTACTGGTACCACCTTTGAGTCGATCATCAGATGGCTGTAGGCTCTGGTCAATCTGCACAGGAAACATACGATTCCACGACAATTCATCCGCGAATGTTTCTATTTTCTGAAAATAAAATTACAACTGTCTAAACTTACCTGATCGCGTAAGAATCAGGTGTATTCTCAGGCACCATAACTCCCTTTCTGTGATTTTCGATCACGTTGTTGTTCACGCTGACCATCTCTCCTGTGTCGCCAGGCATGACAGTCATCTCGTGTGGTCCCACGAAGAACTTCATCGCTAACTTGTTGTTCTGCACTAACTTCACAAAGACGCTGTAAGTGTGATCTACGTGATCACCGGAAATCAGAGTCCATTTGTCAGGTACGACGTACGGAATGGTACCGTTGTCGAACGTAAGAACAACTTGAGGATAGATCGTGCAGGCCTCTGTAAATAATACAGAAGACAACGTAGCAAAAATGACGGAATATCGAAGAATTTACTATCGCGGGATAATTGACAACTTACTCGTGTAACCATTCACAAATTTGTACAAATCTGTAACGGAGTAATGGCTGTTGTCCATCAATATGTTCCAGATATTGTGGCCAAACGGTAAGTTGACTAATTCGTAACTGTACGTCGGGGTGATAACAGTTGCGTCGAGAACGTCTGTCAAGTAAGGATACTCCATGACCATATTCATGTTTCCAGAATCCGCATGGTTCAAAGAGTAGTGTACGTAAGGGAAGGAGAGACCGCGTAAGACATCTTGCATTATGTTCACAGTGGATACGACTAACGGAGGAACCTGTGAAAAATAGGGAATAAAAATTGCGCGTTGTTGAATTTCTCGTGAGATTTACGTATTAATTAATACCTACCCTTCTCATCGTCATAGACGTCGTATATTTCCTCAAAGAAGAGTGAAGAAGAGCTTGTTGGATGCAGTCCCAGGTTTTTGGAACGTGCGAGCCCTGGTACAACGGATTCTGCATATGTTGGGTGCACATGCTATGCTCGCGGTCCTGTACAATGTGTTTCTGTTGTTCTTCCGACACTTCACCCTTTATGTTCAACACGACGTCCATTTCGTCACGAACGCATTGCTCCCCTTGAGTTTGTCCCATGGTGACCGTTACCTTCGTGTTCGTTTCCTTCTGGCCAATGTCCACGTTCAACAGATCTGTAGTGGTCGATTTGTAGTCCTTCACCGCCTCCATACATATCTGAAAGAGAACGCATCGATGATTTTCCAGTGAAAAAACAAACTCGTCCAACTTGAATTGTATGGACTTGAAGTATCCTCGAACCTTCAGGTTCTTCTCTCCAGGTGTAGTACGAGTGACGACAACATTCATACTGTTATTCACGTGTTCCTGGGATAACACAATGTGCATGTTCATATCCCACAGTTTCACAGATTCGTTAGTGGAAGCTGCCTTAGCGTCCATCGTTACGCGAACGCTGATCCTCTTGTTGCTGAAGAAGTGCAATGTTTCGTGGCTCGAGTCCAGATCTTGGGTGGTAACTTTGGTGGTCAAATCAACCTGATCGGCAAGAAGGGAAAAATTAGAAGATAAGAAAAGCTGCATGTAAAAAGAGACACTCACCGCTGAAGTAGGATAAACGAGACTTGGTTCGATCCTGATCAAATTGCTGCAGCTCTTACCCTGTCCAGAGATCACGTTGTTCATCATACTCTGGCGAACACCCATAATCAGTTGCACCAATTTGTAGCCCCTACGCAGAGAAACCACCAGATTCACAACCGTTCTACTTCCTCGAAAATCGTTTCAACAACTTCCACACTTACATGGTATTCTTATTTTCCACTCGAAGTACGTCGAGCCATTCGGAGATAGGCGAGACGGGGGTAGCAGTGCCCTCGCAATCGAACACAGCCATGGTGAATTTAAGTCCCGTGTCCTTTGAATCGTAGGTGTGCTCGTTGATTTTCGGATTGACTACCTTGGTAACAAGCTCCTGATGGCGGCAGGTGTCACAGCTGTCCTTCAGAAGATCGCTCTCGTCGTGCGCGATGGTGACATAACTCTTGGCGGAGGTTAGTATACCGGCAGCGGAGTATTCCGTAAAAGGCAATCTCGGTACGGAAACTTTAAGACTCTTCGTCTCCCGATTGTAACCGACGTTCATTTCCAGCGGCAGAAGAACGTCCTCAGACATCGTCCTGCGTGTAGAGTGCCAGACGTCGGAGATAGGATTGTAGATCGTCATCGCGTATTCACCGTGCATCCAGCGCATGAATTTAGCCTTGAGTTTCAAACTTAGAAGATTCTCGTCCTCCGACAGGAAAGCGTTCAGTTTGAGGGAGTTGAAGGAGGGTATTCTCGTGGTAAGAACAGCCGGTACACCGAGATCGGTAGGTACGTGCATCTCGAATAGATTCATGTACGCGATAGTTTGCAGGTTGATAATTTCCGTTTGCTTAACGAAGAATTGCTTCCACTCCTTCAGATGCTTCAGAACGCTCAACCACTGGTGGCTGTTTATATGGTACACGAAGACGACGTTGTGGTTCTTCGTTAAAACAACGTGAATGTTCACGTCCTTCATCTTCGGCATATCTGCAGCCGCTGTGGCTAACACCTCTCTCACGTTGTCACGCGTGATTTTCTGGACGTTCTTGCCGGTCATTTCGTTCTTCACGCTGTTTACCACCCCGCTCAGATTTTCGATGTGCCATTGGAGCTACGATACGGACAATCCGGACGTTTATAGACAGATCTGATGTACCATTGAAATCTCAAGTGTTTTACTATTCTAATACTTACTCCCCATTGTGAAACAGGTTTACGAGCAACAGTGGTGAAATGTTCAACGGAACCAACGTACGGGTAGCCGGTCGATTGATGAAGAATCAACGAGGCTTTGACAGCTTCTCCATGTCCGTACTTGGTGTCCTTGTAGTCAACGTGAACCTTGGTTGAAAGAGGACCAACGACTTGCCTGATCCTGGTGAAGGGTAACATTTTCCTGGCCATTTCACAAACTGGAGTTAAACAAGGTTCGACAGAGTTCGCGAGACCTTTAATCGTCTCGACGTGGTAATTGTAGAGATGTTCGTCCTTCTCGTTCACCATGAACCAATAGATACTCATGAGACGTCCTGCATGAGGTAACTGATGCATGAGTACGTCGTAAGAAACAATTCTCATCGCTAATGGAAGAGTAACGTCGGAAAGAATCGGCCAGAGTAAGCGATAAGCATAATCGGGATGATGGACGACTACGTTCTGGATCGCCCAAATAGCTAGGAGACGAATGCTCGCTGGTTTCTCCGAATACATCACTTCTCCTTTCACGATTGGCTCCAGAACGTTCAGGATGTTGATCAAACGTACGTTCTTCATGGCCATCAGGTAAAGTGCCTTCATCTGGTAAGTTGGTTCATCTGTAACGTTCGTCGTTAAGTATATGCAAGACGAATAATAACGTGGTAAATATTGGGAAAGTACTTTTGATGTGTTCCATGAAAAGTTGCAAGTATCTTTTCAGAAGAAGGTCGTTGGGTGAAAGAGTTTTGAAGGTCCTGTGGACCAACGAGGCGAAGCATAGTATGCTTGCTTCCTTGACACCGCTGTTAACCGAATCGCCAAGGTGCAACAGTTCTTCCATCTGTAAAAGCAGTTCGGTCGATGGAACTTTCACGTGCATCGGAAGATGCGCGAGCATGAAACGAGCTATCATGTCCGGGACCATCTTTTGACGAACTACGTTTCGCGTGAAGAGACAGGCTGCTGTTGTTCCCACATTCGGCATTATTTCCAGGAAGATATTTCTGGAGGAAGAGGATTATCGAGAAAAATAATTTCACCATATCTATCGATCTACATACCTCATTACGATTTCCTTCGGATCTTTCGTATTCTGAAGCTCGCTGAACACCTGTTTCAGCGATTCGACGTTCATGAAGCTCATCACGTGCAAAAGTCTGTTGATCGTTTGACCGTGCTTCCAATCTGGCTGTCTCTTCTCGATGTGACTCTCTTTCAGGTAACCAGCTGCTTCGTCCAGCATTTTTCTCAGCTTCGCGGTAAGATCGTTCAGATTGACGACATGTCTACCCTGGGTAATGTCCACGTCGGCCTGAGGAACGTATTGGGTCTGCGGTTTCGTGAAGAACATCTCGCGTGTAATTGGAACATTTTGGAAGTCGACCACTGGCAATTGGACCTCGTTCACCGTGGCGACGTTATCGAGAATCAGAGTTTGGCTGGAAAAATCGTTCTCGGATAAAACCTGCCCCGTAAGAAAATTTCTTACACCGCGTCTTGTTATGTTTATCGAATTACTTGGTCAGAATGTAATGCGCCTCTGATTGTGCCATCCATGGGAAATAGTTGATTACTCCGTGGCCGATCAATTTTCTTATAAGGATCTCGTTTCCTTGGTCCTCTATTTCGAACACGCGTTTAGAGGCAGTGGTCATGCCTTCCTGTATTCCAAGTAAAAAAGAAACAAAGATTAACACCGCTGTTGCTCTTTCAGATTCGGCAAGAACAATCGATCGTTCTTTCAACTACCTCTTCCTCTACGTAACATTTCTCCGGCTCGACATGGTTGAACACCTGATGAGTGAAATGAGTACAGTTCATCGGTTCGTGGATCTTCTTAACTACAAACACGTTACCGGACGTTGGATGCATCTGATCCTTGGTATGCACGTTGTACGCCACTTGGCAATTACCATGAATGGTTTCCTAGTGGTAACAACCAAAGAGAACATTAGCCAAAATCCCAGGATGTTCCCATCGGTCGTTACCTACCTCGTGAGTGATAAAACTGTGGTGTTCCATGGGTGTTTGAACGTGAATCTTGCTAAGATCCAGTTGCAGCATAGAGCCGATACTCTTTTTAATGTTCTGAGACCACGTAGATTCACCTTCCTTTAATTTCATACCCTGGAACTGAAACGACACGCGTATAAATCTTATCTATGAAAACGACGAGAATCTTCACGGTTGAACTTGTCTCTCCTTGGAACTTACGTGGCCAACCTCGTCGTAAACGATCAGGAAAGGGATCTCTATATCTTTGGATAGATCGTGGATCGGTTGCGTGACAGAGAGATGGTCTATATTATGCCCGTTATGCAGTGCATGCTTCACATCAGTTAAGGCAACGTAATAGGCATGTCTCAAGGTAGGATCTGTGACATCGTGTTTCACGTGAAGAAGACCCTCGATGCCGAACTGAGATGCGAACGGAGCCGGATTCATCATACCGGCCTTCGCGTCGGCTCGGTACTTGTAGGTCACGGTTTTTCCATGGGGGAAATGGGCTACGATAATACACGATAATCTCATTATTCACAGTTACGTTTTTCACGAAAATGACTAAAATTCACGGTTAACGTGGGAGAGAAGGAATTTCTTCTTTTCGCGACTTACCTGGAGCGGCGAGCGCCGCAGCCAGTAACCCCAGCAATACTGAAAAATAAGAAGCGATATTTTGAATATAAAAGAGAGAGAGAGAGAGAAAAGAGATTGCTTAAAGATCCGTTGAAATTAACTTGAGAAATAAGAAAATATTCTTCTTTACTTACCGATTAGGGCATTCATTATAGTACGACCCTTGCTGAAAGACTGGTAACGCTGCGGCACGGCCTTCTCCTTTTATAAGGCGAAAAATCGGCAAATCCCGGTAGAATAAGAAAGTGCAAATATGACGATAACCCCTTCCGAAAGGGCGAGCCGGTGTAATCAGTGTAAAAGATAACCCGTTCGGGCATCGTTGTAAGTTACTTTTGTTAAGTGAGTCATTTTTTTTTTTCAAATATCGCCCAACGTTTACAATCCCGCTACTTCACACTTCTCTTTCGCTCTTCGTTCTCATTCTTAGATGCAATATTGATAACGATACTGCTTACAGGACTATTCTTACGATTATCAGCGACATAATTCATTTTCAAGAAGAAGTGCGTGTTCGTGTGGAATATGATTTATCGAAAGAATTTTATTTCACGCTGATTCGACAAATACCGATCTGTTTCGTGCGAGCAATACACAATTGATTTTTGCTACAATAAATGTGCAAAAGACCGATTGGAAACTTTCCTCGTGATTGCATTTATACGTTTAAGCGATAGTGTTACAAGCATTGTCGATTAACGCGTTTAATTGGCTTTATCAATAATCATTCTGAAAAATAACAAATAAGGATTGATCGCGTGTTTACGATCGTCCGTGAGAATCAACAATAACACGAACGTAAATTCACAATAATCCTGTTATTTTGTCGTTAATCATAGTTAAATGGGAATTAGCAACAAGCGCGTCGCTCTTTTCTCGTACGCGTACTCCTGTTAATTTACGAATGGGAATAGGAAAGAAATATTCGTCAATTTCGATTGTAAAATTTCTATGGCAAAACATTGCACATTGTTGCATCATTTTGTAAACATATTGATAAACATATCTTGAATATTTACAATTTACGAGATGCCGATTGTAGGAATGAATTTTTTAAATTACTTTCGCGTTATTTAACATGCGAAATATTTCAATAACTCAACATGCAACAAGCTATCCTCACTTTTACCGAAAGGTATTCTCGCCTTTGGCTAAATCACCTTTGATAAATACAAGGGGTCAAACTACCAAGCGTATATTTCGATGATTCGTAATTGTTCGTGAAAAAAGAGAAGAAGTTTCAGTAGGAAGTAGTAAATAAAGTAATAAAGAAAGTTCTGTTAAGAAACAATCGGTGTATTTCTCAGGCTTAATAATTACAATGTTACATCAATACTGTGCGTTTCAGGAGGAGCCATTTTACCGATTATTCAACATCTTTCATAAAATGTTCCTTTAATTTTTCCAGCGCTCTGCTACGATGAGATATTCTATTCTTCATTTCTTTCGGTAACTCTGCGTACGTTTTATCGTGGTCCAATGGCTGGAAGCAAGCGTCGAAGCCGAAGTCTCGTGGTCCACGAGGGGACACGATCGTTCCTTGAGTTCTTCCTTGAAACAACAGAACCGGATCTGTGGGTTCTCCAGCGCAGTAGGCAAAAGTGCACACCGCTTCTGCACTCTTGTCGTCCCAACCGTGAAGCATTCGGTGAAGTCCCTCTATATCTATTTTATCTAAGAACCATTTAATATACGGACCAGGTAAGCCGTTCAGCGCGTTGAAACACAAGGATGTATCTTCTACGATAACCGGGCCTTTTATTAATTCCGCCGCTGCTCGACATTTGTTGCGACAAATATCGTCCATCTCTCCTTGATACTCCGGAAGATCGATCTTTTTACTCGTTATCTCTCGTGGGAAATTCGAACCTAGTATAGCCACAAATTCCTCGAGTTTCCTCGCATTTCCGGTTACGAACACTATCGGTTTCGACATCCTGCGAAAAATTTGAATTGCGAAATTTCCCGCCAGTTTTTAAGTTTCTCTAGTTGGCAGACATGCGGACAAAACGCACATGTAGAACGAGATCGTCAGATACGTTGATATTTTTCTGGAATAAATTTAATTAAAACTGTTATTACAAGTATAAATATAGACGCGTTTTATTTTAATCGATATTACATTTATCGTAATATTTCGAGCGGTTACTCTATACCCTGATAAATATTACCTTTTGATATTTAATACTAGAAGTAAAATACTCGTGAAACTACGTGTTATCTCAATAGTGTTGCTAAAATACTTGTGAAACTACGGGTTATCTGAACAGTGTTGCTAACTGCGTGACATTTCTTATTTCACGTTTGAATAAATACGAGGATATAGTTTTGTTAAAAAATAAATTTACGAGAACCCTAACACCTTAATTTCTTCTCGCTGTAAAATACGAGGAAAGAAACAAATCGTGCAAACATCGTGCGTGAAAAATTTGACAATAAATACGCAGTTCAGCTGAAAAATATTGTCACAACATATTTTATTTTACAAAAATTGTCGTGAATTAATTTCTTTATTTAGAATATACAATTGGTAGATTTTCCTGAATGCGCTGCATACATTATGTACCCTCACACATATGAAAGGGTTTTTCGTGAATGACTAGTGATATCTTGGTTGTTGTTTCTGCCGTAGCTACGTTCATTCGGGAAAGTCAAAAGAATTGCTCAAAAATGCCGAGTCAAGAGGTTGTAACTACGAAAGTAGTGGTGCACCCTTTAGTTTTATTAAGTGTGGTGGACCACTTTAATCGTATGGGAAAAATTGGCAATCAAAAAAGAGTTGTCGGTGTTCTTTTGGGGTGTTGGAGAGCTAAAGGTGTTCTAGACGTGTCAAACAGTTTTGCAGGTTAGGATGACTCTACTAACATTCGTCGCTTCTTTCTGAAATTATTACAAATTTTGATAGGAAAGCTTTTAAATATTCGTTAAATTATCGTCGCTTCAACACTGTTGCAAATAAAATAAAGTTACTTTTGTTTCAATGACTTGTAATTTCATTAACCCAAACCAACATGCATAGATTCCAACATTTCTTTGAATTCGTTAAACAAATCAGATATTATTGTTCTCATTTGCAGTACCTTTCGATGAAGATGATAAGGACAAAAGTGTGTGGTTCCTTGATCATGATTATCTTGAAAACATGTATGGAATGTTCAAAAAGGTTAACGGTATGTATCCCCTGATGTACATGCACGTGAATTTGAAAACAGTCCGATAGTTGAACTTGATGTTTTATTAATTTTCTTTTAGCCCGTGAAAAGGTAGTAGGATGGTACCACACTGGACCAAAATTACATCAAAATGATGTTGCAATTAATGAACTAATTAGGAGATATTGCCCTAATTCTGTTCTGGTTATCATTGATGCTAAACCCAAAGATCTTGGCCTTCCAACAGAAGCATATCAAGCAGTTGAAGAAGTTCACGATGTAAGCTTTACAATATACGTAATACATGCTTCAATTTATGTAACAATTATCGCAATGTTAAATAATTTACAGGATGGCTCTCCAACGTCTAAAACATTTGAGCACATTCCTAGTGAAATTGGTGCAGAAGAAGCGGAAGAAGTAGGTGTAGAACATTTACTGAGAGATATCAAAGATACCACAGTTGGTACTCTTAGTCAGAGAATTACAAATCAGCTCTTAGGTTTAAAGGGTCTTCATGAACAAATTAGGGAAATTAGAGATTACCTGCTACAAGTAGGTAGCGGTAAATTACCTATAAACCATCAGATCGTTTATCAGCTGCAGGACATTTTTAACTTACTGCCCGATATGACACAGAGTAGCTTTGTCGATTCGTTGTACGTGAAAACGAACGATCAAATGTTAGTTGTATATCTTGCTGCCCTTGTTAGATCCATAGTAGCTCTACACAATTTGATCAATAATAAATTAACAAATCGCGACGCCGAGAAAAAGGAAACAGATAAGAAGGAGACAAAAAAAGATGAGAAGAAAGAAGAAGAAAAAAAGGATGAGAAAGATAAAGCAAAAACTAAAAGTCAGTGAATAAAGTGAAATTGAGACTAATCTGTGTGATTGAGACTGTTAACCTTGCAGAAGTTCATAAAAAGTTGCAAAGTTTGTTTATACATGTGCAAATGTACTTTGTGCTTTCAGACGATTGGCATTTCACGTTAACACCGAAATAAACACGAATGACCTTGTTCTTAAAGCATTCTAGCATGGTATGGTATATACATTGGATAAAGGATATGATAGTCGGGACGCAGTTACACGTTTCCAAGTACAATAAATACATTGCACTGTTATCGACAAATTTTACCTGGTCTATTACAAATGAGCAACTGCTTCTAACTACCCGTAACTTTTATATAATGTATCGATATCGATAAAAAATTTCGTAATTTTTTCATGAACCAACACCGGAATTTTCTACATTACATGGAAGTACAAGATAAGATTCTCATAAACATACACCCATTAGGTATTACGAACATGTTGTTTTTTTTCTAGAGAACCCAAGCTTTCGTAATTAAATGCATTGCGTTATTAATAAAAAGAGGAAAGAAAAGAACCGATCATTTGAACTTACATTTTTATTTATTCTTCGTGAATACACAACTGCTATAAAATCGCGAAGTATACGAACAATCGATCGTGCATTTTCTTGTATCTAAAAGCATTTCATTCTTGTACCTGTACGATATATAATTTCAGATATACACTTGATTTTTTTAATCCACCAAGTCACTTCTTATTTCAATACTATCCGTTTCCGTCACTCGAGTCGATCGGTATTTTACACGTAATTAAAAGTAACTCGAACGTTTAATTATTTAATAAATTAATTTCTGGGAATATTTAATCTTTCACATTTTTATATGAGAATGTACAAAATAAGAGATATTTGACCCAATAAAGTCCATCGAGGCACACTTGTCTTTTCACCTCCACTGTACGCTATACCCACGTAGGGCTCCAAATTGGTATCGTTGTAGTGTTGAAAGTACCAGTTAAACGGATTGTCCTCGATCACTTCCGCATTCTCATTCAAAGATCCATCTTTGCCGAATAACTTTTCATCGTTCTCCACGTTACGTTGGACCGCCTCGGCCACAGATTTCTGTTTCCCTGGCTCAGAGGAGAGACCGATACGTGGCGATGGAACTTTCGTTATAGTTGGCCTACCTAACGGACGTAAATTCGGCACAGAAGGTACTTGACCTCCTGGAACCAAAAACGCCGATAAAGCTGACGCTTCAGTCTCTCGAGAGACCTGCGAATTAGAAGAGAAATTCTTTCGACTTTCTGGAAAAGTTGAATGGAAAGCTGGTCGTTCTGTTGCAATCGTACTCGAGTCATCTATAATCAACGTTAAACAATTGCTTGTAAATTTTTGTTCGATTAGAAAAGAAACGCAATTAGAACGACAATTTTTACCGATTGATTCGTTTCGATTATTTATCGAGGAACTGGTCGTTTCGTGAAATTCAATTACATCAGAATCCCAAGTACTTCTCTCCCCTCCTGACACCTCTGTCGACGTTTCCTTGATCAAAACCTCTTTCGTCGTTTCCAACACAGTCCTAGGCGTAGTCCACACTATTCTACTCGCAACTTCTACCTCTGCTTTCTCTTCGACTTTCTTCAATTTCTTACTCGTCTGCAAATAATCATCCCTATCCTCGACGTCGCTAGATACAGAAGTTTCGTTCGCTTCTTGAGGCGACTCGTCCGCTGCTGTACTCGAATCCCCCGTCTTCGTCGAATTAATTACAGAACTTGCCAAAAAAAAAAAAAAAAAAAAAAAAAAAAAAAAAAAAAAAAAAAAAAAAAAAAAAAAATTTTTTTCTTTCCTCGTTAAATTACTCTCTCGTTTTACCTGTTCTTCTTCGTCCCGGTGATTTGCCAATGAGCATCTTGCTCGTTCACCGAAACAGTGGACAATTCTTCCCTCTCCTTAGACCCCGCTTTAGGCTTGCTCGTCCTTGGATGAGCCCTCTCGATCTTCACAACCG